AAAGGACAGAACTAGAGATGCACAAGCAAGTGGAGTTTATTGAGCCAGCTAGCTGGGGTCAAGCTTTCTTGCAGGAATGCAGGCCACACAAGGGAAGCAAGACCCTGACCAGAGGGATGTCAGGGAATATATAGGCCTCATTAACCTTTACAGGAGTCATAGCCTGCACAAATTCAACTTAGCAAATGAATTCAAAGATTAACAAGCATCACAGCTTGTGTCACAATTCAACCACACAAGGGCTTGTTTATCATAATCCAATTTCGACCTGTCCCAGGGATTAACACTAGGGTGTGGTATCTGCCTGCATATCTTTTGGGCTTAGGGAGGGGTCACACAGACTCAAAGGAAGGCAGAGGGGCGGAATTACTAGTCAGGCCCAACAATATATTAATTGGGGAGAATAGCTCTCTCTCAACGGAAGATGCAAGATGTCAATAACATGCATATACTTTAACTATATGATCTCTGTCCGTGACATAATGTAGTTATATTTGGTTCATCACTGATTACAATAACCTACGTTACCCACTGATAGGTGACTGGATAAAGATGGGACAATATTCCCCTAGAAGAAAAGACGAAATTCTGCCCATTTGCCTATCATGGAAGGACCTTGAGGGGATTATGTAAAGTGAAGTTAGCCAGAAAGAGAACCACCAATATCAAATGATTTCCATATATGGGGATATAAGAAAACTAAATGAGCTGAGAAAGCAAAATAAAAATAAGTCAGTAGGCATTGATAGCCGAATTGACTTGGTCACTGGAGGTGAGGCCAGTGGGGGTGGAGAAAGGGTGAGGGAGGTGTAAGGGGTGGCAGTGAGCATTTGGGTTTGCTTTATTTCCCCTTCTATTTTTGTTTTTTTTGGGGGACTGGGGGGTTTCTCCAAATAAATTTCAAAAACAAAGTTCAAAATGTCTTCCCGGTTGCCCACAAGACCATACTGAAATACTTTTGAACAAAAAAGTTAACTCTAGAAAATGTTTTATTTTTTCTTCCTCTTTTTCAGGAAAAAACCAAAGCATGCATCTTGGCACACACATGCACGAGAGGCGCCAGCTGGCCTTCTGTGGTCACTGCTCCTGGGGAAGCTTCTGCCTCTCCTTCTCCACCTGGGGCCACTGTTTCTCTCAAAGCACCGATTGGTGGTGCACACTGCGCCCCTCCCCCCCGCTGCCACCTTAACCTGCCCGGATGCAGGTCACAAGCGGTGTCCTGAGCCCCAATGACCCCAGTTCTCACCTTGCTCAGGACGAGGCCCCTGGAGGGCATAGCGTTTCCTGCGGAGCTGTGACAGAACTAGGGGTCCCCTCCCTGCGGCTGCGGTTTCCTCGCGTGCACTAACATAAGCAGCTGCATGCATGTCCCAGGAGAAAAACTGCCACCAGGACTGGTAGCTGCTGAGTTTCCCTTTTACCTGCCCTTTCTCCTTGTTTCCCTCTGTTGCCTGGAGCAGCAGGCAGGAGCAGAGAGATGGAGGCTGGGAGGAGCTAAAAGTTTAAGTTGTGGGGCAAAGAGAGGGCAGTCATTCTATTTTGTTTTGGATAGATTGCCAAATCATTCCTGGGAATCATTGTCCTGGTACAGTGGCCCTATTTGGGGAGTTCTAATTCCAGCTTTCTAAAAAATATTGTCTTTTAAACGCAAGCACATGATGGAATATTCAGAATGGACAAAGTAAACACGGTGCTGCAGCTTCCCAGTTTCCTTCCCTGACAGCGGTCACCATTTCCGGTGTCGTGTGTGTCCTTCGAGACGTTCTATACCATCATCATCCAACAGCACAGCACCGGCATGACAGCCACTGGCCACAGGTGCCTGCTGTGACCAGTGTGACCTTGGAGTGGACTTTTATTTCTTTAAAGATTTATTTATGCATACAAGAACTGGGGTACAGGCCAGAGATGTGGGGATGGGGTGTTTGAGAGGATTCCCCAGAGACAGAGTGGGGAGCAGAACAGGCAGATGGACTGAAATACACTGCTGAGGGGGCAGCGGGTGGGTCAGGGAAGGTCTGCTGTGCCCTGTGGGTCACCTCCCTGGCCAAGATTGAACTCGTGCTGCAGTGGGCTGTGGGTAGCTTCATAATGCTGCAACTTAATCTCTTGCACCACCAGGGAGGGCCCTGAAGCTCGCTGAATTTAATGTAAATGTAGGTGGCGTTTGGACACACGCGTGTGTAGGTGGCCATACCAGGCAGTGCAGTTCTGTACACGACACACCACACAGAGTAACACACCAGAGACACTGCACACTCCGTGCACTCACAAGGCAACCCCTTGCTGTTCCCACCCCAGAGATCCACAGGCCATCCCTTTTCAAATAAGCTCTAGTCTTCTGTGCGGTGATAGCCACCACACCTCTCAACAACTTGGGGTTCCCCACTCTCAACTTTTGCCAGCCTACGCCTGAGGTTGCCCGAATAGTCCCTTTTAGGCACTGGGGGAACAGTGTGCCCTGCATGAGTCGCCGCCCTGAAGTACACTCTCGTCCCACAAGCCCCGTGCTTGGAATTCACTGGTGAGGGCGGCATTTGCAGTCAGTCATGGCTCTCAGTGCTTCTCCCTTGGAGTACTAAGTCTGCTGGGAAAGGCAAACATCTGGGGTGGTTTTGTTTTTGCCCTGCTGAGGGGCCAAAATGACGAGGGGCTACAAGGCCCTTCACTGAGGCCTTTGTGGAGCTGCGGGAATTTGGCTACGTTGTCTCGGACACTGCACTGCCTGCAGTCCACCTGACTTTCATCCCAGCAAGAACTGTCCTGAGACCAAAGGAAGGATCAGCTCCAAGCGTTTCTCCAGTCACCTCTGAGGACGACTCCGTGTCATCAGCGTCTAGTACCCAACCTGCTTCTCAGCTGAAGTGCCAATACCTTTTGCGGGCTCTGGCTTAGACCGCAGTCCACATTCTTACTCCATGGAGACGACGCCACCCGCCCTTACAAAGCCTTGAACACCCATAAGAAAAAGCAGCTGGGCCAGTGAGATGTCCTTGTGTGCAACGTGAGAAAGAGGCGGAAGTGGTTCTTGCCCCCTTACCCGGCAGACCTGCAGCTGCAGGTGGGTTCCCCACTCCCCCACCAGCCGGCAGTGAGCTCAGCAACGGCTTCCTGAAGTTCCCTGACTTCTGGGGGGGGGGGGGCCTGTATCAGCAATCGGGGTCTCATGACAGTAGGCGTGGTCAAGTAGCCCGAGGGCTGGTGGTGCAATCCTGTCACCCCAACTGTCACCTCCATGATGCCGCCCCTCCCATCATAAGCACCAGTCAATTGTATAAAATCTTTACTTTGCTTGAAATATCCAGGGTAGTTCTGGTGCTTTAAAGTACCTGTAAATTCGATTCTTTCTTCTAAAGGCAGATTCTAGTGACCTGACTCTGTGTTGCAAAACCTTTCTCATTGCAGAATTTGAGCTGGCACGGGGGCGTGTTTCTGTCCTTGTGACCTGACAGTGTGACTCCTGCATCTTGTGCCGGGCCTGACCCAAACAGGGGAAGAAAATGTGTCCACCACCCACCTCATCCTCAGTATTGTTAGGGCGCTTGGGTGCCAGCAGTGCCTACGCTTCTCTAGCCCTGCGCTGTGCCGCGGGGCAGTGTGAGAATTAGCAGCCTTTGGGGAGTCCCAGAGTCCTGAGCTAAACCTTCGCGGTGCTGCCGTGTGGCCTGGGGAGGGCGCCCACCTTCTTTGAGTCCTGTTTCCTCATCAGTCAGTTGAGAATCATAGAATATGCTTCTCCAAATTGCTGGGCCAGATAAGACTATAAAATGCCTAACTCGGGGCTGGGCACCAAGCCGGCAGATGGTCAGTGAGGGCTGCGGCTGCTTCCTGCCGTTACTACTGCTTAGCCTGTGTTTCTAGTACAGCAAATATCTGCTGGCTCACCGAAGTCACCACACAGAAGCACTTGGTTTTCACAGGGGACCTGGTCTGGCACCAGGAGGGCAGGTGTCCTGGCCCTGCGCAGACAACCCAGACGGGCCACTGACAGCTGATACGTGCTGAGCGCCTGTCCCACGGTCAGGACACTCGCCACCTCGTACTGCCACACCACTGACATTCAATGGCGTCCATTTGGTAAATTACCAAATCTTGCTCGTTTACAATTTCTTTCACACACGAATGCATTTACTGGCTTTCTAAATGTGATTCATGAGTTTCCTTTCAGGAGCAGGGAAGCTGCCTGTTCTGCCGATCATGCTTGCATTAGTCCGTGGAATCATGCGCCTTGGGTCTGTGCTGGCGAGGAAGGAAGTGGGGAGGCTGGCCTGAGCTGGGGGAGCTGAGCAGCACACGCCTGACACTCGGAGAGGTCAGGAGAGGCGGGGGAGGGGCGTGTTTTCTGAAACAAAGGCTCCAGGAGGGCAAACTTGGGGCGTCACTGCTCTTACATTCTTCTTTCCTCCATCCCTAGCTTGTTAGGATGGAGAACCCCCTACCGAGACAGAGGTCACATTTGTGCATGAGCTCAAGAGTGTCTGGGGACAGGACAAGCCTCCTCCACCCACTCCCCCACTCCCCCCGCCCCGCAATGGGAGTGTGGGTTTAGTGATCCAATGTTCTGGCAAATCCAAAGCCCCTACAAGAGGGGCCAGAAGTGGAGGACCCTCTGTGGGCAGGAGGTCCAGTATGTGTGAGTAACTAGTACTCGGTGAGCCAGGGAGAACAGGCTGTTACCTAACAGCCTCACCCCTTGGGGATTCGTTTTCCAGTTCTCGGGGCCTGGCTACACTGGGGCCTGAGGCAGAGGCCCCCAGGTTGCCTTGGGTGAAAGGGCTGGCGCCTGGAGGATTCCAGCTCCTGCTCTGCTTTCCTTGCCTCTGGCCCTTGTTATTGGTATGTAACTGTTCAAGTATTTACATTTTCAGTCCTTACCACGTGGCTGGAATTGGCTATGAATTTATATTTTTTAATATGATAAAAATAAGTATTTTATAAGCAATGCTGTGAAGTCAGTATTTGAAAATAAAATTTGCAGGTGGCCTGAGGCAGGATGGGGTTCACTCTGTGGCGGTCTCCTGAGCTGCCTCACTCTCCTCACCCGCCTCTTCGGTAGATTCTTCAGTTTTCTCTGTTGGAGTGTCACGGATCTCCCTGGAAGAAGAAGGATAATGCCGACAGTTAAACTTCTCATCACTGCTCACTTCAGACCAACCTGTTAAACTGTCCTAATCACTTACCCCGCATCCTTTTTGAAGATCTCATCCTCGTCAGAAGAGTCCTTGTCATGTAGCTTCTGTGCCATGTTTTTCTTGCGTGTGGCATTAAGGGGTCTGTACATGTCCCTAAGCCAGAGTGGCCGCCTTCTCCAGAAAAAGCCCTCCTAGGGAGTAGAAAGGGACATGTTAATTTTGCATGTCCTCTGCTTTCTCTAGCCAACAGCACTTCATTTCCACGAAGCTACCTGTGTCTCAGTTTCCGACAAACATCTCCTTTGCAGCAGAAATCCAAAGAAGCCCCTTGGGAAAGAATACACAGAGTTTTAGCGATTCATGCCACTGTCCATGTTCCCACATGAGTCCCTCTGGATGCAGTGGGTACCTCGGTCAGAATGACAAGGAGCAAAGCCACCACAGACCTGGGATCTTGAAAATAGTTCCATGCATGCTGGACATCCAGGAGTTCTTTATGTCCCCAGTGTCCTGGGGGAGACTGTGTGTGGTTGCATGCAATACAGGCAGGATTTCTAGCCCCACTCACCAAGAGCACTCCTGCAGCGAACAAACTGCACTACTGCACTGGCCTAAAGTACTAGACTCCCGGGCACTTTTTACTAAGCCCCTCTGGCTTTGTGGCACAGGCAGTGTGTGCTGGAAGGAAGTCGTTTCTATTGCCCTAGCGTTTATCTTCTACGTTGACTCCCACCAGGTAAATCCCTGAGCCCAACCGGCAGTCATGTAGCTCACTAGCTCACACTGCAGGCTGAGTGTGAAAGTCAGTTTAAAGGTCCCAAACACAGTCAAACACAAAGCATTCTTTTTGACTATGAGTAGAAGAGGAAAAAAATCAGAGTGTATTACCATTGTGTTTTACAAACGACCTATGTCTATAAAACATGTATGTCCTGAATTGAGACTTAAAATGTAGCTCGCAGCCCACCACTCGCTGGGACAGGAACAACTCAAACCCTCCCCCCCCACCCCCTCCGTGCTCGTCCCTGACGGGCTGGCGCAGCGGGTGCCTCTGTGCAGCCCCACCCAACTCTGCTGGCCAGCGGCTAGTCTTGCTGACTCTGGTCAGCACATTCGGATAACTAAGTGTTCTTCCTGTCTTTGCTGGGCTCCTCATTCTAAAATGAGGCTCAAACAAGTACATTTTAATCTCTAGCTCTAAAATTCTATTTTGAAAATTGCCAGGCCAGTATTTACCTTGATCTTCCTTCCTTATCTTCTCTCTCTGATGCTGTTCTATGAGAATAAATCTGTTTTGGAAGAAAATGTGATCATGATTATCTACTACCACGACCATTACCTCTAAAATCTTTCTTATTCCTTCTGGGTCTTATTTACCCACTGAGATGATAACTTTTTTGAGAGCAGGGGCATTTTCTCCTCTGATTTTTCTGTTAGTACCTAACTTAGGATCTTGCATGCAGATACCAAATACATTTTATTGATTGTTACAACATTCAATATGTAGTTCCAAATAAGATTTATAGAATAAAGCTACACCTAAAACATAAACAGCATCATTTTTTTTAAGTCAAGAACTAAAGTAGGATGCCCACTGTTACTGCTATTTGTCACTGTTGAGGAAACAATCAATATAATAAGAAAAATGAATTATTAGAAAGGAAGAAACAACATACTTCCATATGAAATAATGGGTAACTTAAAAAAACCAAAAGAATCAACTAAAATTCTATTGGAAGTAATAGGAAAAGTTTACCAAATGTAAAATCAAGAAATCAACGTACAAATCCCATAGCTTTTCTACATATATTATGAAGAACTAATTAAAAAACTAGAAGTGGGCCCTTCCTGGTGGCGCAGTGGGTTAAAGCACAACACTGGAAAGCTTAAGCCACTTCCGCATGAGTTCCATTCCCGCCTGCCCCTGAGGTGACCACATGGCGTGGCAGACCTCTCCTGACCTGCCCGCTGCTCCCCTCAGCAGTGTACTTCATTGATCTGCCTGTTCTGCTCCCTGCTCTATCTCTGGTGAATCCGCTCACCCTCCGCATCTCTGGCCTGTACTCCAGTTCTATATGAATAAATAAATAAATCTTTAAAAAAATAATAATAATAAATAAAATAAAATAAAAAACTAGAAGTACCCCACTTACAATACGAATAAAATATGCATAAAATATGAAGAATGAACATAACAAAATGTAAGAACTTTGATTAAATATTTAAAACTTTAATTTTTAATGTTAATATAATTTTTAATGTAACATTAAAACTCATGTAAAAGAAAAAATGAGCCTTAAGGAAAGACAAATGTTTCTGTTTACAGAAACAAGGGAAATATGTGCAGTAAAGCAAACCAGAATGGACACATGTTGGACTTTACAGAGTGGACAATTTGACAAAACAAAACACACAAATTAGAGGATGGGCCCTCCCTAGTGGTGCAACAGGTTAAAGCACAGCACTATGAAATTATCACAGCCACTGCAGCACAAGTTCAATCCCCAGTCAGGGAGCTGACCCACATGGCACAGCAGACTTCTCCCGACCCTCCCACTGTTCCCCTCAGCAGTGTACTTCATCAGTCTTCCTGTTCTACTCCCCACTCTGTCTCTGGTGAATCTTCTCACCCCTGTACCTCTGACCTGTACTGCAGTTCTGTATTCACAAATAAATAAATCTTTAAGAAAAAAAAAACTAGAGGAACTGACAAATGAAGTGAGGCTTCTGAGGTTTAGAGGGAGAAGAAGAGAGAAGTGGTTAAGGAGGTTTAAGGGATGGAAAAAATTATAAACCTGCAAATTGGATGAGATAATATTCAAATCCCAAGGTAAGGACTTTTGTTTTCTTTTGTTTTTAAAATTCATCAACTAACATTCGGTAGTGAAAATATGCAAGAATCGCCATGAAATGTATGAAAAAGAAGGTCAATGGCCCTCCCTGGTGGCACAGCGGGTTAAAGCACTGCACTGAGAAGCTAAAGCCGCTTCCGCATGAGTTCGATTCCCGCCTGCCCCTGAGGTGACCACATGGCGCGGCAGACCTCTCCTGACCCGCCCGCTGTTCCCCTCAGCAGTGTGCTTTGTCGATCTGCCTGTTCTGCTCCCCACTCTGTCTCTGGTGAAGCCTCTCACCGCCCCTGAGCCTCTGGCCTGTACCCCAATTCTGTATGTACAAATAAATAAATCTTAAAAAAAAAGAAGATCAAAGAGCAGTAGCTTACCCTAGTAGATAGTCAAGTATGTCCTAAAGCAGCTGGCATTTAGCCGTGTGGTACTGGCACTGGTAATAGGGAAAGATGACTGGATCAAGAATCCAGATACACAGTAGTTCACATCAGTGAAGAAAGAATGAATCATACAATAAAAAGATTTTAAAACAACTGGATGGATGTTTGTGTGTGTGTGGCGGGGGAGGGGGGGAACTAGAAACCAAATTTTAGATGGATCAAAAAGTATTAACAGGTGTTATAAAAGTACTAGAAGAAAATACCAGACTATTTTTATGCCATGAGGTGACAAAGGACTTCATAAGCCACACAGAGAGGGCTGGCAGGTGAGGGGACCGTCTGTCAGCACGCCGCCTCCTCGCCACAGCTCTTACACTCCCCCCGCAGTATTTTTTTCTTCTTTGATTTATAAAGTTCTCTTTATTTCACATGTCAATCCTTTCCATGGTTTTCATCAGATTTCAAATACTTCTGAGTGTTCTGGTCTTTAAGGAGCCGAAACAGTGCAGTAGAATAAGGAACATAGGCTTTACAGTCAGCAGAAACTGTCTTCTCCTGGCTTTGCCTCAGGGGCTCAAGGTGATCTCCATATATGGAAAAGGGCTGCTAATACTCTCCTCACAGAGTGGCAGGATTCTATCAGACAGCATATGGGCCAATGTAGGTTTTCCAATATATGGAAAACTGTCCCACACTTGGCATAAATCAGTGCTGTTTGCTACTGGTGTCAATTCTATCAAAGGCTTCTGCCTGTGATTGTCAGGCATAGTTAAAATACTGGGAAATACATTTTTTATGTGTACAGCTGATTAAGGTGAGAAATAGGTGTCTGTTCGAATAGTTAGGCAGCTGTTGTATTACTATTTATTCATTTTCTTCCACATGAATGGTTAGGATATTAAAAGGTGACATTTCAAAGTCTTAGGAATACATGGGGTCTGTCTGCTACTGGATTTGTACGCTACTTCAAATAAATATTAGATTGCATAATGCCTCATCTCTTCCTTGAACACTATTATTGTCTATTCCAGTCACCTTTCCCTGTCACTGCATTATTGTCTACTACACCCAGTAGTAGGCTGGGTGTAGAAAGTTGATCATCTAAATGGAACGAGGACATAATGAAACACAGAAACACAAATGCAAGGGAATTACAAAGGAAGCAGTATGGAGTTCACAGAAGTCATGAAAAGTGATTTGCCACCTGGAGAGGCTGAGGGTACTCTGGCCAACTGCCAGTGACTGTCTTCCCAGAGGCCTTGGCTGTATTGACCCATGCTAGTCCCCAGCCTCCTAAACTCAGAAATCAGACTTTCCTCACTGAGAGAGAACTCATTTCTCCCTCTGAGGGCAGTCTCACATTATCAGTGCCATAGACTTAACCAAAATCAGAATGCCAGGACATCTGTTCTACGCAACCAGGAACTACCTTTTGTAGAGACAGGCCTCCATGGCACCCAACAGAAGGCTAGTTGGTGAAAACAGAGTAAGAGCAAGGGGCATCAGCTGCATCCAGGATTTAATGGGAAGGACTGAGGTAGCAGGATATCCAGCCCTCTCCCCCAGAGGAATACCCTGGTTAGTGGGCCCAACTCCACGTCCGCTTCCTGAGACGCTGCTCCATTTCTGAGCAATGCCAGGATGGCACCACCCATGTTTATCTCTTCTTCACCTTTTCTACACTTTTACTAACTTCCAGCCACTAGACCCGTTTCTCTTTGGCAGTTAACACAACCAGTCAGGCTCCAGTCAGGTTTTACTCAAGTCCGACAATGGAACAGGTCCATACACATCTCTGCTCTGCTCTATGGTGTGTTAACCCTGGTGTTTCTCTTGAAGAGCTACATTTAAAAAATCTAATTACAAGATTTTAAGCATTCAGGGGGAGGGGATGAATCATGATAACTTCATGAAACGCTGGCGAAATGAACAGTAAGGACTAGGACCAGAAAGGCTGGCGAGCCAGGGAAAGCTTTGTGAAGAAAGGTTTGGAGTTTGGAGAGACTCACAGGCCTTCCATAGGCAGAGGGGAATAAGGGAACTTTAGGCAAAGGCAGAGATAAAAGCAGGGATGGGCTTGGCGTGACTAAGGTATGGTGAGGAGCCTTTGGTGGAATGGAGGGCTGCCGTGAAAGCAAAAAGATAAGGAAAATCAGGTTGGGTTGGTAGATTCAAGATTGTCAGCTATGAAAGCAGTCTTTGAGTGTTAGCATCTGCCTGCTGGGAAAAGCATCTAACCATTATGCAACAGAATGGAAGATAAGCAGGCAAGTTCCAGGAGGCTACTGTAAACATGACATACTTTAATTTGATGTAAAGTTTTAGCTGTAGTATTTTATTATTTCTTTTTAAGATTTACTTATTTATGCATACAGAACTGGGCCAGAGGTACAGGGGTGGTGAGAGGATTCACCAGAGACAGAGTGGGGAGCAGAATAGGCAGATTGATGAAGTACACTGCTGAGGGGAGCTGTGGGTGGGTCAGGAGAGGTCTGCCGTGCCACGTGGGTCACCTTCAGGCCAGGATAGAATTTGCATTGAAGTGGCTGTGGCCAGCTTGCAGTGCTGTGTCCTAACCTGTTGCACCACCAGGGAGGGCCTTATTATTTAAGATTTTTTTATTTGTGCATACAAGAACTGGGGTACAGGCCAGAGGTGCAGGGGATGAGAGGCTTGACCAGAGACAGAGTCTGGGACAGAACAGGCAGACTGACTGAAATACACTGCTGAGGGGAAGCAGCGCAGGAGAGGTCTTTTGCACCATGTGGGTCACCTCCCTGGCCCAGGATTGAGCTTGTAATGTGGATCACACCAGGGAGGATCCATTAACTGTAGTATTTTAACTGACGGTGATTTAAGACAACCATCTTACACGCTGGAGAAGAAAGCTGCTAACTGAACGTACAGGATGGTGCTTTTCTTTTAGCCACGCCCTTTCTCCCAGAGTGACTTACAGCTCCATGTGAGGGTGGGAATTATTTATCTTTCATCGGTTCAGCCACCAAGGAAAGAAACCATGGTAGAGTGACAACACGAGTGGTCATTACTTTAAGTACTGACATACTTTTGAATTTAAGAAATTTAATATGTCAACCCTAACATTCTTAAATTCAACTTCTCAAAATAGTATAATGGCTTGTTATCTTGGTTTCAATTCCAGAGACGACCTGCATTGAGGAGATCCTGTGCATGTATTTTGCAATAAAAAGAACAACGTATAGCTCAGACCTTGTGACTGGAAATATCAGGTAATAGTAGGAGGGAAAATGATTTTGTTTGTGGGTTATGAAACTCTGCTGTCAAAATACATTATATTTTGGAAACCTGAATTAATTGTTGTTCTTACCTCAATGAGACAGAAGATTACAATCAAAATCATTACTACGATAGTCACAGATATTGCCAAGATGAGTTTGTTGTTATAGCCATAACCTGGGACTTCTTTTGTGAGCTAGAAAAAAAAAAATGTTTTTAAACAAAGAGAGGGAATGAGTGAAAGCCAGCTATATATTTAAAGCTATTCAAGAACATCTAACTATCCTTAAAGGGCTCTAAAGCCTCATTCTCCCAGGTGAGTAGCTATATGTTCTTAAGAGAATGCATCAAATCTAATGTGTTGTGTAATCTTACCACTAGCATTTTCTTCCACAGTTCATCAAGTTTGTGTTAGACCCCCTTTCTCATCTAAACTGAGGAGAGTGGGAGGTCAGTGTCCTTGCCAAAGTGACATGGCCAACACCTGGAACAGACTAGGAGCCCCTGGCCTTTCTGCCTGGATGCCTGAAGTGGGCATGACCCAAACCCATTAAAAGCCCAGGCCCCATATGTTTTTGGAGTTGTCCTCACCTCACTTGACTTTTGCTCTTTCTGTTCACTCTGAATTTCTGTGCTCTCATTGATGTAGTTCTCATTTTTCCATTGGTCTGTATCCCATTCTGCCTTGGACACCTTTACTTCTTGCTGCTCACTCAGCAGCTTCATCAGGAGACCTGTCCTGGAGATGAGCTTGGCACAGGCCAGTTGCACTTGGGTCTCAGAACAGTCCATTTTCAAAGTCCGGATAACATGAGCAATGAGCCTTCTCACGTCATTGTTGGGGATGAGGGACCGTAACTGCTGGTTTAGTTGAATTTCAAACTGATCACCGGGTGAGGAAAACGGCAAAAATGTGGAACTTGTAGGCCTGCCAGGTAAGTCAGTGCCCACGTCGTGGTATTCCCACTGTGTTTCATTCGTTTGTTTAACAGTTGGCATAAAATTATCTGCAGTCACAGCAGAATCTGAAGAGGAAAAATTCTTATCGGCATTGATTTCAGGGCTAATTTCTTTAGGCATAGCAGTGTTTTCTGCAGAAATATTTTCTTCAAAAATATTTTCTTCAGTACTGTTTTCCCCAGTACTGTTTTCTATGGGAGGTTCTGGAAGAGTAAACAAGTCTGCGAAAGGATTTTCCTGAGAATTCAGTTCTCCTGAGGAGGAGAAATCCTCCCGCGAGGGGGAATTTATGAGGCGCCTCACTGCAGCAAATGGAGGCCTGTTTGCAAGCATTGGCCTGTTGGACGACGTTTCCTTTCTGAATTTTTGATTCCCGTTGGTCTTGGGGGTTCTGTGGACTACTTGAGGTCGAGGTCTATGAAAGCGGTGTTTTTTCCTGGGACGTGATGGTTTAGAGGTCTTCATATTTCTGACTCTAGCGTCCGCATTCTCGAGAACATAAAGAGTGTAGCTTAAGTCTTTAGACTTATTTTTCGTCTCGGGTAAGGGCTGGGGAAGAGCGGAGTCTGAAGAGCTCCCCAAGGAGTGTTTCAGGGAAGAAGCGACTGCTGCCTCACGCTCCTCTGCGCGCGAGGGCTCCGTGGGAAAGGCGTTTCCCGCCAACAGCCTGGGCCTGCGCAGCGCGCGCAGCTGCTCCGGCTGCCTTGCGGCGGGTCTTCTGAGTCGCCTTCCTTTGGCGGCCACGGTCTCCACAAACTTCTGTTTCCTCTTGCCGCCCTTAGCCCCTGCGTCCTTGAAGTGCCTCTTGTGTAGGCCCCTCAGCCTCTTAAGGACCTTGTTGACTCTCAGCCGCCTTTTCTTTTTAGCCTTGGCCTTTTTCTGTGGTTGGGCAGTTTTTAATTTCTTTGGAAAGATTTGGCGTTTAAATTTGGGACCTAAAAGACTAGAACGAATCAGCATTGCTGTTCTTTCTTTCTTCTTAACCTCATCAATTTTTTCTTGGATTTCTGCATCTAACAAATTTTCCAGAAAATAAAGTTTCTGCAATTTCTTCTTGTAAGTTGAATTGTTAGATTCAGTTTTGAGAGAAGGGTTCCCTGTGGCGTTTTTCAAAAGACCCAGAGGCTTATCTCCATACTTTACATTTGAAAAAAGAAGTTTAATGAATGGTAATAATGTTGATTCTACATCTTCTAGGTTTCCCTCTGAGAAATAAGGCAGTATGTAATTTAGTGCACTAATAACATCACTTTCATCATTAAAGTCTAGCTGCTCATTCATGAAGCCTGAAAAATTGATGCCATTTATGTCTGAGGATGGCTTTTCTGGCTCAATAGTCAGCTCAGTGCTGGTGTTCTTCTTCCGAGCTTGTAAGACCTTCATGAATGAGCCTTCGGAATTCCCGATGGATGCTTCTTCATCTGTCAAAAAAGAAGAGACCGCCTTTGATAATGAAAAGACTGAGAGGACAGCATTCTGTTGGTACATGGTGGCACATCCCCGTTGAATAAATTAGGTATCAGCAAACATTTCAGTGTCAATTAGAGGAGAAAAATAAACCAAACTTCAACTGACTAGTGGCAATAAACAAAAGAGAAGCTTATCTTTTGAAAAAGTGAAGATCTCAGAACACTACCTAGATGAAACACAGTAACTATGTTTAGTATTATTCCACTGGTCTCCTAGAGACATGTGCCCAAGATTCAAGAAAATACAAGGCTTTTGATGTTATTAGCACACTAAATTACATACTGCCTTATTTCTCAGAGGGAAACCTAAAAGATGGAGAATCAAGGAGACACAATCCCCAGCTTGGTTAGCATCTCTGTCGATCTCCTGCTATATCACACTCATCTAGCCCTTCCTGTCCTGCCTCAGATGCAGAGGAGATGAGACCTCTCCCCCACTGCTGCAGTGTACACCTGTTCTTGGTGCAACCACAGCTGGCCATGATGACACCCACGAACAGCCCTTATCCAGACAGGCCCTTTTCCACCTACCCACTGATTTCTTGGCTCGGGCCCCAGCCCCACATATCCCAGGCTCTGTAACAGGAAGTGGATATAGTAAAACAACAACACTATGTTCACCCTGTCTTTACTGAAATCTAGGCAGGCATCTGGGTAGAGATCAAGGGATTTGCCAGCTTGGATATGCATGTTGGAGTATTTGTTAAATCTATGAAATAATAGCTGAGGTCCTAAGATGCAGAAGGGAAAAAGCAACGTATGTCACATCCTTACTTTGCTTTCATTTCATTTGTTTTCTGATATTTTTATCTTTACATTCGCAATTTCTGGTCTTTTTTCCAGAAGAATTAAAAGTACTTTTAGTGGTGATGAGGGTCAGAAGAGGAGGTCAGGGTAGTGAGATAGGAGGAGCATGGAGATTTCTTAAGAAAGTAAAAGTGGAAGCTGCTGGGAGTGACCCAGCAGAACCTCTGACAGATATTTGCCCAAGGAATATGAAAACACTAAATGTGAAAAAGATTTAGGCATGCCTCTGTTTATGGAAGCACTGCCCACTTTGCTAAATCATGGAAGCAGCTCAAGTGTCCATTCATTAAAAACTAGACAAAGAAGTTGTGATATATATTCTCAATGGAACACTACTCAGATGTTCAGAAATATTAAATAGTACCTTCAGTGTCACATGGATTAACTATGTGAAAGAAGTCAGAAAGTGAGATACTGATTTCACTTATCTATGGAATACAAATAAGCAAAAAACATATACTGGTAAAATATGGCGAACACAAACTTAAACTTAAGTGAAAAAAATTTCTGGTCCCCAAAGGGGATGGTGGGAGGAGAGAAGAGGTAGTGGGAGGAAGGAGTAGGGCCCTGGCGTAGGAGAGGAGGTGGGGGTGGGGGAAGCATGTGTACACTGAGGGAGAAAACATGTAACCCTGAAGTCATATACACGTGTAAGTGACTAACAAATTAAAAACATTCTTAATTGAAAAAAGCAGTAGCACTTAAATTATTTTATAAAATTGCGAAAACAAACACAATAAATGAAAATTTACCTTTCTACTACAAGGCAAAGGGCATTTGAGACCTACTACATATAAAATAAGTTTATAAACTGAGGTACTGCATAGGAGTGAGTTCCCATCTGAGGGCAAAGCACTGAGCCACATGTGAATAACATGTGACCCTAAGGTTCACCCCTCCCTCCATCCTCATGTAGTGGAGGCTGACTTCCCACGAGGGCGTAGTTCTCAGAAATTTAGGGAGCTGAACTCTGACTGAATAAAAATTACACAACTATATTACTAGCTAAAATTTTAAACAAGTAAAATAAAAGCTGATCATCAGGCAATCGGGACTCACCACAACGTGTGGTGTTTGTCAGACATTCGCTATCACAGTGCAGCTTGACTGTCTTGCAGACCACCTCAATGGTATTTTTAAATTGACAGAGACAGCAGGCCAGACGACTTGGTAAAATTCTGTAAGTGGAAACATATGTAGTAAAATTAGTGGTAAAGAAGTTACTCACCTAGGTAGAAAGGGCAGGTCAAAGCCAATACAGGGGTGTCTCAGAAGGAATTCTTGGGGCGTCTACCCAAAGAGCTGGGTAGGGCCCAGCTTACCAACTGTTGCTTTTAAACAGTGTAAAATTATAGAGGACAGAGTTGGCCAATAGACGGGAAGGCGGCAGTGGGTGTAAAGTACGCCTCAGATAAACGTAGTAGGAGTGACAATGGATAATACGGATTGCAGTTTCATTCAGAAATGTCTCCTCCCAACCTGAAAGCCTAACTTGGGTTGAGAGGACTCAGCAAGACAGCAGACTTCTAAGAAGAGCTAAAGTCCCCAGCATCTACAGTTCGCTTCTCAATTCCTACTTGTGAGTGGTAAGTATATATACTAAGAATTATTTTAGGCATAAAAGCAGCTTGATTTAACCCACATCATGTAGCTAAGCAATAACAAAGTCAAGATTGGTCAAAACTGGACAATTTAAAAAATCAAAACAATTAAAAATGGATTTGAATACACTTAATAAAAAAGATATTTGCTCAAATGAATAGACACTAAGCATTGTCAACTGCTAGAGAAATACAAGTTAAAACCACAATGAGACACGCCCACCCACCGGTTAACAGGCTAAAAATGTTTGTTACAAACGTCAGCAGCGGGTAAGAACATGGAGCAAGCCAGCGCATACGCCGCTGCCGAGCGTGCAGCCTCTCGAAAGCAGTCTGGTGGTGTATTAAAGAGCTGATCTACAACTAGAAATGTCCATTTGGTTGTGCCTCTTATGTGTAACAGTTATTAATGATTGTTGTCTATTAGTTACTGTTTTTAGGATTCTAATGTTTTGAGGTTCTTCCAAAACTTTCAGCCCTTTATGACTCTTTTCTAGAACAAAAAAGTTCTTTATGTTCTTAGCATATGATGTAGCAAGCCCACCCTTAGGTATTTACCCAAGGAAATGAAAACATGATCACGTGAAGATGTGCATGTCAGTGTTTTTAGCAGCTTTATTCAGAGTAGCCCCCAAACTAGAAGCAACTCAGATGTTCATAAAATGATGAGTGCATAAACACGTTGGTATAGTAACATAACTAGAGCACTACTTAGCAATAAAAAGGAGTGAACTGCACAGAGGGGCAACAGGAAGGAAGAATCTCCAAAGGATTATGCTAAATGAAATAAACAAAACACAAGCGGTACCTACTGTATTAACACAGCCATAAGACATTCTGGGAAAGGCAAAGCCATAAGGACAAAAATCAGTTTGGTGTCTGCCAGGGGCTGCTTGACCATAGGATCAGGTTGACCATAAAGGGTCATGAAGAGATCTTTTTGGGGTGATAGAAGTGTCCTGTATCTCAAAGTGGTGGTAGTTACTTAACTATATGTTTCTCAGAAGCCACTTTACTATTACACTTAGAGAGAGTGAATTTTACTGCCTGAGAACTCTACTTCAATAAACCTATGAAAATAATGAAAGAAACCTAAAATAACAACTAAGTAAAAATAAATGTGAGGAAAGTCAACTTACAGTTTTTCCAACTCAAGGGTCATCATGAGGATGCTCTCAATTGTTCCAAGTGACACTTGTGTTGTTCCCATATCTCTGAGGAACGAAGTCAAACATTCATGATATGAAGCCAAATACAAAATCACTCTGCTTAACGAGATACTTAATGACATGACTAATTCAATTCCGGCTTCTCTGTAAAGCCAGATCTCAGAGTTTATTTGCCATAGGTAATAATTACAGAGCGCTCCTAATGAAAAAAAATTATTTTCATCAGGTTGAATTTCATCAACTTTTCTTTGTATTGGATAGTGTAACCTTATTTTTTAAACACTGTCCTATTTTTTGTTTTCAACTATATCTGCCTTCTGCCTCTCCTATTTTCTTTAAACACTAATACATAACTTTTTTCCTCTTTGCTTTCTGGGGAAAATGGTATTTCTAAATGTTCCCTATCTATATGTTTTCTCCAGCACATTGCTCTCCTCCTCTGCTGGCTGTCTTACCCATATACATTCTTTTAAAATCCTTTCTAGCTTGTATGGCAGTAACTCTTATTTCGATAACTCAATTAAAAATTTTTTTTACAAAAGTAAAAAAGAACAGAAATAATCTCATGAGACATGAGGTTGTTACAATACTTACAAATATTTCAATGCTGGCAATTTAAAAAGAAACGAATCTTCAACAGTTGTCAGAGGATTACGACTGAGAATTCTAAAAAATACAATGAAATTAAATTTACTTGTATTTTCAAAAATCACTATGAAAGTTTACATATATATCTATACACACACACACACATTTGGTATGAACCTTGAAGTTAAAAACCTCATTTTCTGTGTTTACCTATAAGTCACACTTAGAATGTGTAAAGCACTCTTCCTATGGAAATTTAGATGATAAAGTGGAGAAAGAAAGAAAAAGAGAGAAAAGTGAACAGCACAGAATAAATATGCCAAAAAACTTCTCAATTTGAAAATCTTAGTGACTATGCTAGTAGAAGTCCTTACTGTAAGGAAATAATATTTCTAGTGTTTTCCATAACTGAAAGTGCTTTTCTTTAATCTTTAAGACGTTAAACAACTTAGAACTTTAATCTACCCAGGTGGATTAAAAATAGCCCTAATTCCCTGGTTTTGGAGCCAAAGAAGGGCTGAGTCTCAGAGGAAGTGGTGACAGCACCCCTCATTGTACACTCCCCTGTGCACGCTTGCAAGGAGATAGAACCCCTGCCTGCTGCTGGCCTTCTGGACTGTCAGCTCCTGGAGGGCAGGACCATATTTTATTTCATCCTGTCTGACATAAATACCTGCTATTTATTAGGCATTTAAGAAATGATTGTTGAACAACCAAATAACATTGTTTACATAACAATAAAATGAACAAATTAATTTTTGACACCAATTTTTATTCCAAAATGCTGGAAAAGATTTTCTTCTCAATTCTTTAAAACAAATAAGAAAAAAAAATTGCCAAAGCAAAACAGGAAGAAAGGAGAGAAATCTGGCTTTAGCTTAAGTCAAGAATCATGAAGTATACTTTTGCAGAATATTACAAAGATAATTATCACAATAGCTATTGGGTTGCCAGGAATCTGTGATCAGCATTTCACATTTAATCTTCACAATAACCTTTTGTGGTAGACATTATTAATACTCCATTTTACAATTGAGGAAACTGAGGCACAGAGAGGTTCTATAACTTGTCCTAGATTGTCTAGTTTGTAAGAGGCAGCGCTGAATTTAAAGTCAGTTCTGACTCCAAAGCCAGAATGAATAAAGGAGGTTTAAAACAACTGTTACTTTAAACTTCATTTCTGAGAGCACTAAATAAATAACCTTTTCAAAGTTCATCTATCCATTCTGAGAGAAGCTCTAAGAATTACACTTTCTCTTGTATTTATTTTCCTTAATCATCTCTCATGATCAAGTATTTAGTTATCCTCTATTGTCACTGAGACTAGAAATTTAAAACCATGTTTAGATGAGTTAATAAAAATGGCAGAATAAGGATATCTGAAAATTTAGTGGCCCCCCCCCCAATAAAATCAACAACAAAATACTGGCAAAATTATCATGGTCTACTATTTCAGAACTCTGGAAATTCTGCAACACTGGTAATTGTAAGAACAGTGAAATGTATCTTTAACTTATCCTATGCCATTATCCTTTATTCCAGCGATAGACTGGAAAAAAACAGCCCGCACTCAGATACCAGAGGAGCAAAATGGAGCTCCTCAAAGCTTCATTCCTGAAGAACTGCCACTGTTTTACTTGTCTGGTGGTTCCCAGTAAGACCTTACTTGAAGATCTAACTCGACTGAGAGATGCCCAGAGTTGAAAACTTCTCCTCAGGGGCCATTTTTGGAAAACAATCATGGATAAATGTTTTTACATGGGTAACAACTGGGACAAAAAATAGCCTAGCCAAAAGCTTAAAAGTAAAGGTTGAGGCATGTCCATAAAGACTTTGCAATGTTCCAAAATATTCTTGGGAAACTGAAAGGCCACAAGATATGTTCTCGGGAATATAGAAATAAAACATTAGCACCAATAAATGAGTTGGTAGAAGACCAATATGTAATAATTAGTTGGATTATTGCCTATTAGCAAAGGGTAATTAAAAAACAAAATTAAAATATTCTATGGGTAATAGCATAAAAATGCTTAGGAAAAATTTAACCAAAGTGTAAGACTCACATACTATAAAGCACCTTGAAAGAAAATAAAGATCTAAACAAATGTAAAGACATGTCCTGTTAATGATCAGAGTAATATTGTTAAGATGGTACTACTTCCCAAATTGATTTATAGTTTCAGCACAATACCCACTAAAATTCCAGTTAACTTCTTTCCAGAAATTGACAAGCTAAATCCTATGGCAACTCAACTCACAATTCTAAAATTCATTTGACAATTCGAAGGACCCAGATTAGTTAAAACGATCTTGATAAAGAAAAACAAACTTACTTGTCCTGCTTTAAAGCCTAACTTAAAGCTACAGCAATCACAGGATGGTCCTGGCTTACGGATAGATATAAATCAGTGGGACAGAATTGACAGTCCAGAAATAAGCATGTTTAAAGGTCTACTGGTATCAGCAAAGGTGGTGTCAGGTCAAGTCAATGTGACAACTATCCATCCACATGCAAAATAACAAAGTTGGACTCTACATTTCATGCCATACTTCTAAAATTCAGGGGTAAATCTATAAGACTTTGGATTGAGGAACAGTTTAGGTACAGTACCGAAAAGATACAGAACCAAAGGAAAAATAAATCAAACTTCCTAAAAATTTAAAACTTTTTGCTTCAAAGTTCACTATCAAGAATGTGAATGACAACTCACAGTATGGGAACAGATATTTTCAAATTATCTGCCTGGAATATCCATAATAAATAAAGAACTGTTACAATTCCATGAAAAGCTAAACACAACCAGCTTTTTTATGGCAAATGATTTGGAGACATTTCTCTACAGAGCACATGAACAGCTATTCTGTGTCTTAAGTCACTAGGAAATGCAAGCCGAAGTCACCACGAGATACCACTTTACACACACTGAGATGGCTGTACTCAGGCAGCAAACAAATACTGTGATGAGAATCTGAAGACATTAGGACCTTCGTATACTGTTGGCAGAATTGTACAAATAAAAAGGTTTGCTGTAGAAAACAGTTTGGGAGTTCCTCAAAAATTTCAACACAAAGTTACCACATAACCCAGCAATTCTACACCCAGGTGTGCATTGTGCATGAATGTTCACAGCAGCATCAGTTCTGGTAGTGAGCAATTGAAAACTACTCAAATGCCTGTTAAGTGATGGATGGACAAAAAAGGTGTGGTCTGCCACGCCATGTGGATCCCCTCCGTGGCAGGCTGGGGATCGAACTCATGGGGAAGTGGCTTAAGCTTCTTAGTGCAGTGCTTTAACCCGCAGTTAAATTCATGGAATCATAATAGTTCTTTATTTATTCTGGATATTCCAGGCAGATAATTTGAAAATATCTGTTCCCAAACTGTGAGTTGTTAAATACAATGGACTATTGCTTAAGCCTTAAAAAGAAGTGAAGTACTACTGTTAAAAGAAATACAAGAAGACACCATGAAATGGAAAGACATCCTCTGCTCATGGATTGGGAGAATTAACATCATCAAAATGGCCATCCTGCCAAAAGCAATATACAGATTTAATGCCATCCCC